AGAAGGACATCATGCTTGGGAGGGTGGAGAGACAGCATAGGAGGGGAAGGCCCTCTAGGAGATGGATTGATTCGGTGACTGGGGTAATCGGGATGAGTGTGTTGGACACAATGAGGTTGGTACAGGACAGAACAGAGTTTAGGGCTGTTGTACATAGGGTGGCTAGGAGTCAGAAGTGACTTGACGGCACATAACAAAAGCAACTGATTCATTTACAAAATTTGAATACGTTGTTTTTCACAAAAGAACCTTCTCATTTCCCTTCACCCCACCCACTCATCAAATTCTGCAACCCTATGATTAACACCCTCCCTGCATCCTCACACCTCTATTTCCAAATCCCCTCCACCTTGGATCCTCATACTTATTCTACAATAATGTTTTTATACAGTATTTGTCCTTCTGGGACTGAGTTAGTAGTTCACTCAGCATAATGCTCTCTAGTCCCTCCCAAGTTAGATAGTAATTTACAAAATGATTGCTGTGAGTGTTGTGTAGTACTCCATTGTATGAATGTACCACAACTTCTCAATCCATTTGTTTGTGGTTGGACATCTGGGCCTTTTCCATGTTCTTGCAATGGTGAATAATGCTGCTATGAACATTAGTGTGCAAGTTCCTGTTTGATCCTCAGTTCTCATTTTCTTGGGGTATATTCCAAGCAATGGAATAGCTGGATCAGATGGAATTTCTATGTTCAGCTTTTTGAGGAAGCACCAAACTGCCTTACAGAGTGGTTGTACAATCCCACCAACAATGTAAAAGAGTTCCTATCTCACTACATCCTCTCCAACATTTATAACTTGCTGTCCTGTTAAACTTTGCCACTGCTGGAATAGCAACATTTAACAGGATAGCAACAAATCGTATATTTCCCAGCTATTACACTGCTAGGAACACAGCCCAAAGCAATTAGAACTTAGCCACAAAGAGATATATAAACCTATGCTCAGAGCAGTGTTATTCACAGTAGCAAGAAAATTGAAAAAGATCAAATGCCTATCAACAAACAAAATGACTGAGAAATTGTGGTACATTCACACAATTGAATACTAGGCAGTAGTAAGGAACAGTGATTTCTAGATATAACATATAACACAGGAACATCTGGAAAGCATTATACTGAGTGAAATAACTCAGTCTCTTAAAAACAAACACTGCGTGTGTTGCTGTGTACCATCGAGTCAGAACTGACCCATAGCTGATCCGCTGGTGGGTTGTCAGAGGCAGTTAATGCACAGGAGGAGAGAGCTCATTGTATAAGTAGAAGGATAACTACGAAAGGAGTGAATGAATATACAAAAGGAGAAGAGGAAAGGTGGAAATGGGCAGAAAGGGGGGAAAACTGGAAATCACTAATGTAGCAGAGTTTAGTGAGCCAATGGGCTGGAGGAGGGGATGTAAAGGACTAGGGAAGATGCCATAGGGATTCAAAAAGATCCGGTAGTAATAGACATAGAACAATAGTAATTAATTATATAAAATACAGTGTATATGGGTGATTATATGAAACACAATGTAAATGAAAGTTTGTATGAAACACAATGTAAATAAATCATTGGGTGCAATGTTTTTTTAAAAAAATAGTTATAATGATCAATATTTTCTTTATTCCTATTATTTTTCAACTATCCTTGTATATACTTTTTTGACCCTTTGATCAGGTAGAACATTCATTCTTATATTCAAAAGACATTTACTTGTCATCTAAAATAATGTTCCTACTGCAAAGTTTCACAATAGCATTTTTCATCTGGGCATTTCTCAAGGTATATATTACGGGATTTAACATAGGAGTTATAACAGTGTAGAATACAGCAACTGCTTTGTCAACAGGTAAAGTGACAGGAGGTCTCATGTATATAAATATGCAGGGCACAAAGAACAAGACGACCACTGTGATGTGAGTCACACAAGTGGAGAGGGCTTTGCGTCTCCCCTCTGAGCTGTGGGCCCTTAAGGAACACAGGATGACTCCATAGGAAATCAACAAAAGAAGAAAGTTTAACAAGCAGTTAAACCCACTGTTAGCAGCAACAAAAAGCCCTAGAATATGGGTATCAGTGCAGGCAAGATTGAGCAAAGGGTTCAGATCACACATAAAGTGATCTATAACGTTAGGGCCACAGAAAGGTAATCGAATAATGAAAAGCATCTGTATAGTTGCATGAAGAACACCTCCCATCCATGAGACTCCCAGCAGAAGACCACACACTTTCCAGTTCATGATGGTTGCATAGTGCAGGGGTTTGCAGATGGCCACGTAGCGGTCATAAGCCATCACAGTCAAAAGAATGATCTCAGCAGCTCCAAAGAAATGCTCTCCAAAGATTTGGGTCATGCATCCAATGAATGAGATGGTCTTCTTTTCATAGAGTGAATCTACAATAAGTTTAGGGGTGTTGACAGAGGAATAGCAGACATCGATAAAGGAGAGACACGCCAAGAAGAAGTACATGGGAGATGTGGACAATGGGCTGGCGGTGATCGTGACCACAATGAGCACGTTGCCTACTACCGTGATGATATAGATGACAAAAAACACAGCAAATACGATGTTCTGCATCCTTGGATTTTCCGTGAGCCCCAGTAAGATAAATTCTGTTACATTGTTACTATTCTCCATGTATTTCATGTGACTGTTCAATTACATTATCTGCAAAGAAAATCATAATTACTAATACAACCTTAAATTGATTCTATTTTTTAATTCCAAAATATAATAAAGATATTTCTATCTCAACTCTTGATTTGCAAGTTTTTAGGAGTTTTTGATTACTTTTTTTAGAGGTAATATTCGTGACTCTTTTCCATTATGATAAATATACACAACAAACTTTTCAATATTCTACATGGTTCAAGTGACATTAACTTATGTTTACTATGTAGCTCAGCTATTTTCATGAATAATTTGTAAATGTTTTTATAGGACAAGATTTTACATTATTTTCTGTCTTGAAATGACTAGTGATTTCCAACCACCAAACTTCTGGTATTCTTTTGAATAGAATACCACCAAAGATCCATCAGCTCTTTTCATGACATTTCTAAAGTACCTAAAAATTGTCTTCAAAAATACTAAATATGACCAGTGACTAAATGGCTTGGTTTTAGAAGCAGGAAAGTCTGATTCTAGAGTCTTCCATTTACTGCTCTAATCTGGAGTACATTTCCTGGAACTTTTCCATTGTTATTTTTTAATATTTACGTGATCTTTTTTGATGAATAAAAATGTCCACTGCACTGGTTGTTATGAGAATTGATTGGGAGAGAATGTATTAAATTATCCAGTGCAGCATTGAGACACACACAACATATTATTTATTCCATTTTTATGACTGTGTCTGCAATTAAAACAGGAAATATTTAGAAGATAGAAACATTTAATGATGTAATAAATTCAAGGTACAACTCTATTCACTATTAAAGAAGAAAAAGACTCATTTTATCCATAGAAATTTAGTCTCAGGAAAGAAATCTCTATACTTGTGCCAGTGTTTATATTCATGAGTCCTGTTTGTAACATGAATGAAACCATGTTTTAGTCCTCATTATTGGTATACGTTTCAGTCTCAATAATTAAGAAAGTTATTTACTTACATAACTTTATTACCTGATATGAGAAAGCTAGATTATAGTCCTACAAATTTTTAAATGTCTATGAGCATTAGTCTTATCTGTCCAATGATGTTAATAATTATGCATATATTTTGATAGTTTGGAGTGAGGAGAGAGGATTTTATTATTATGTTAGGAAATGGTTCAATGAAGTCATTTATCTTTATTAATTGTAACAATCTTAAACAAAGAGCATGCTATTTTGACAGACTTACCTTATTGGTCTTAGAAGAAGAGTTTAGTTACATCTAAGATATTCAGTAACAATTACATCTTCACATTGAGTTCCTCTTAAAATAAGCAGCTTTCTGGAATAACAAAGTTACACAAAGGCTTTCATTTCCTTAAAGGCTCAAGGAACTTGTCTCAATCTCGTAGGAATAAATGTTTTCCTGTGAGTGACAGACATACTTGGAAAGAGACTGTTCAAAAAATATTTCTAAAATGATGTAGTAAGTCTAAATTGCTCCTTTTAAGGAAAATAAAAAAATTTTCCCAGAAATAAATGAAATTTTAACTTAGAATGAATTTACTGAATACTGCAAATGCCTGATTCTATGCAGCCCTCTGGTCCTTCAGTGCCAAAGGCAGATCATGTGATAGACAAACATATACATCAGTCAGTCCACCCGTAATGGATCTTGCTCTGGATGTGTGAACAATGGCAAAATAAATCTATTTGCACCTTGCACTGATGGTCTATAAAGATATTTCTGTAGGGCTCAGGGACCTTGTCTTATTCTCACAGGAATAAATTATCCTCCAGAAATGACATGTTAGGTATTCTGAGGCAGCAATCTTAAGGACCTTATTTTTGACTAGTGACCTGTACTCCCCTTACTTGAAACCTAATCTTGTGAGAATTATCTTTCTCCATCTAAACCCTGGTTGCCAGGGAAGATGAATACCATATTAGTGCATATATGGTATGATTCCACTCTGTAGACTGTATAGTTTCTCTGTTGACCCTGTCACAGGGGAAGCTACTGTTTTCTGTCCAATAACAAACTATTTCTGAAAATCCCTTAATGAGTTGTTTGATATCTGGAGAAGAAAAGCAAAAACTTAATGGTTGGTATTTTAAAAGCACTTTTAATGAAGATCAAAGACTAGAGCCATAAATATGGATTGTATCTCAGCATCAAGAAAAGAAAATTCTCACCGCTGGATCAATAGGCATCATGATAGATAGATAAAAGATTGAAACTGTCAGTGGTTTCATCTTACTTCAAGTAATAATCAACAACCTGGGTACTAGCAAGAGATCAGGAGACATATTCCATTGGGAAAATCTGCAATTAGGGACCTCTCCAAATTACAGAGCAGTGATGATGGCAGTTTGAAAACCAATATGTGCCTAAATCAGGCCCTGGTTTTTTCAATCATTTGCTATGCATCTGATAGCTGGACAATGAATCAGGATATCACAAAGATTGATTCCTTTGAGTTCTAGTGTTAAAGGAGAGTACTGATTATCCCATAGGCTGCCAAAAGTATAAACAGATACGTCTTGGCAAACATGCAACCAGAATGTTCCTTGGAGGAGAAGACGACAAAGCTCCATCTCATAAATTTTGGTCATGTTAGGATAAACAATTTCTTGGAAAGGGACATCATGATTGGAAAAATGAAGGGTGGACAAAAGACAGAAAAGGACCTTAACGAGATGGGCTGACATAGTTACTATAGCAATGGGCTCAAGGATGACATAGGATACAACAGGGTTCAGAGGTGGTCATTATAAGGTCACTATGAGCCATTCTTGACTTGACAACATCAAACAACAGCTTGTTTCCAAACGTTGATTTTTTACATTTCAGAGAAATCTTTGAAAGGAGCCAGAAGCATCAGAGTTGACCAAATTACCGGGGCAATGGGAGTAGATATGTCAAAGACAGTGAGATTGGCTTAAGATAGGTCAGGGTTCAGAGCCATGGGATCACTAGGAGGCACAAGGAACTTGATAGCACAAAACAACACTAAAGCATCATAGAGTGTGTGAAAGCTACTGTATCCCTGCTGTCAATCGATTCTGACTCCACCCTATGGGTAAAACTAGAGTTGCTATACAGGGTTTCCAAACTTCTCAATTTTTATAGAGGCAGACTGCTCAATTTTTTTTTCTTCTGTAGTGACTTATATGGATTATTACATAAATACATGGCAATGCAATATATATCTTTTTCCTCTCTGGCTTCATGCATTTAGTAGCAGGTCACCTCTCTTTTTATTTTATATTGGTCTGCTTACAAAGATCATATACATTGTGTTTCACACAATTCTTTGTTCATATTATGCTTCATGCAATCATTCTCATGCATTATGTTTTATAAAATCAATCACCACTGAACCTTGTCCATCATTACTCAGTCTTTTCAGGTCTCCGTCAGATCCTTCCCATTCCCTTCACCCCCTCCCACCACCCGCAAAACTGTGCAACACTGTAGTTTTGCTCCTACCCATCCTCACTCCTCCACTCCCACCTCTTCTCCTCTTGGGTCCCCATAAATGTTTTACTACTTATCCTTCCATTTTTACAATAATGGTCTTATGCAGTATTTGTCCTTATGAAATTGAGTTACTTCACTCAGCATAATGATGTCCAATCTCTCCCAAGTTATGTAGTATATTTAAAAATTGTTGTTCCTGAGTGCAGCACAGTATTATGTTCTGTAATGTGCCACAATGTCTCAACCCATTCGTCTGTGGTTGGATATTTGAGCAGCTTCCATGTTCTTGTGATGGTGAATAATGCTCCTTTAACATGTTTTTGAGATTTACCCAGAGTGTAAACATGTATCACTACTTCCAGGATTCAATAATTGAACAATATTTTCCTGTATAGTTTGTATATTTGACTTATATATTCAAAAATGGTGGAGAGTTTTCCCAACTTTGGGCATTATTGTTTGTCTGACATCAAATACATATATATAATTTTGCATTTGTTTGCATACAAATTTCATATACATTGTATTGCATTAATGTACATTGTTCTTCACACATTCCTTCCTTCACATTGCATTTCAGACAATCTTTTATATATAATGTGTTTTATAAAATCAGTTACTATTAATCTATGCCTACCAATACCCGATCTTTCCACATTGTCATCGGATCTTTTTCATTCCTTCACCCACTCCATCTGTCCGCCAAACTTGGCTGTTGTAATGATTTCCTCCATCCCCATTTTCCACACCCTTCTTCCCCACCTCTCCACTTTTTGGATTTTTATATACAACTTAATAGTTATCCTTCTATTTTTACATTTTATAATAGTCTTAAGCTATACTTGTCCTCATGAGACTGAGTTAGTTCACTCAGCCTAATGCTCAAATGGGACCACATTTTAAGGAACTGGACGTGTTCCTTATAGTAGAAGATATAGGAAGGATGGAGCTCTTGAATCTCTGTGAAAGTCTACTACTTTAGCAATTAAAAAAAAATAAATATGTTGAACAAATAGAAGTGTTTGGGTATTAATTTATTCATTCTCCATGATCTCCCTGTACTTCCTATTCTGCCACTTCAATTCTGACTTTTTCACAGTTCTTTTCTTCCTCCAAAGGAAAAGATTTATTTATTCTTATGGGCAATCTCCTCTGGTGTGATTAACTGCCTCTGAAAACCCTCTGAAACTGGACGGTCAGCTATAGGTTGGTTCCGACTTGATGATACACAACAACAACAACTACTACTACTTATTTGGAGGAAAACTTTATCTTGTTATCTTAATTAGTCATTTATTTTGAGACTTTCTCTTTTACATTTGACTTTAGTTGTTGTTACATGGCCTCAAGTCACCTGTGACTCATAGCCACCTTATGTACAATAACTCTGAAACCTGTCCTGTCCTGTGCCAGTCTCACTGACTCCAACACACCTAATCTTGTTGCCCTAGTTACTGTAATAATCCGTCTCATGTAGATCTTCCTCTCTTGTGCTGTCCTTCAAACCTTCCAAGCATGAGGTCCTTCTCCAAGGGTCAGTTCCTCCTAGCCACATGCC